AGAATTTCTCCATAAACTGTAGGAAAATAACCTCATCAGAAGGTGGCTGAGGGTGGACCAGAATAAATAATTAGAAATGGAACAGAGGAATCTTCGAAAGAGGACAAGATACATACACAAAATACATAAACTAATTTTTTTATCACAAAATATAAATTTTGGCATTTCAATTAAGTGAGTAATACCCTTCTGTGTGGAAATTAGTCACGCTATTTTTCTTTTCTCTGGTAGTCATGTCAACCCCATGGAACCCGGAAATGATACACGAATTTCAGAATTTCTTCTTCTGGGATTTTCAGAGACACCAGAATTGCAGCCCCTCTTATTTGGACTGTTCCTGTCCATGTACCTGATCACTGTGTTTGGAAATCTGCTCATCATCCTGGCCATCATCTCAGATTCCCGCCTCCACACTCCCATGTACTTCTTTCTCTCCAACCTGTCCTTCGTGGACATCTGTTTCACCTCTGCAAGCATCCCCAAAATGCTGGTGAACATCCGGACTCAGAGCAAAGTCATTACATATGCAGGCTGCATTTCCCAGATGTACTTTTTATTGCTTTTTGCAGGGTTAGATGACCTTCTCCTGAGCGTGATGGCTTATGACCGATTTGTGGCCATCTGTCACCCCCTGCATTACATGGTCATAATGAACCCCCAGCTCTGTGGGTTGCTCGTTCTGGTATCTACCATCACCAGTGTCCTTCATTCCCTGTTACAAAGCTTAATGGTGTTGCGGCTGTCATTCTGTACACATGTAGAAATCCCCCACTTTTTCTGTGAACTTAATCAGGTGGTCCACCGTGCCTGTTCTGATACCTTTCTTAATGACATGGTCATATATTTTGCAGCAGGTCTGCTGGCAGGTTGTCCCCTTGCTGGTATCCTTTACTCTTATTCTAAGATAGTTTCCTCCATTAAGGGAATGTCATCAGCTCAAGGGAAGTATAAAGCATTTTCCACCTGTGCATCTCACCTCTCAGTTGTCTCCTTATTTTATGGTACAAGCCTAGGAGTGTACCTTAGTTCTGCTGCTACACACAATTCACAATCGAGTGCTGCAGCGTCAGTGATGTACATGGTAGTCACACCCATGCTGAACCCCTTCATCTACAGCCTGAGGAATAAAGACATGAAGAGGGTTCTGAAAAAATCTTTGGGAGGGAAACCATAAAAAAGAAAAAGAAAAAACAATTATACTGCAGCTGAAGAAGTGACCATGACTCCAGTGCTCAAAACCTTGGAGCCGGAAATTGTGACTCTTTGGTCATATTGTGGAAATAGAACTTGCTCCTTCCACTTATTTCCTGTAGTTTCCATTTCTTTGACATCAACTTCTTTATATAATTTAAGTATCTTACTTTATTTGGCTTTCTGCTCTTTCTGATATCTAACATTGTTTTTTTCTTTTTTCATTTCCCATGGTTATTCCCAGACTTGGATCAGAAATATTTGGAAATGCCCATTCTTATCATAGGACAACATGAATTTCTTTAGTATTACTTCTCAAATGGCATATGTCATACCAATTTTGGGGTTTTTAAAAATTGTATTAAAGGAAAATTTATGAATTGCACTATTCCTATGGAAAAAAAACCCTACACCTGGCAACAAAGGACATTTATATTTTATAGTATAAGAAAATCTGAG